TCCGAGAACCCATGTCGCAGGAGAGTCGCCTGGGCATCCCGTTGATTTTTGGCGCAGACATTTGGCACGGCATGTGGACCATCTTCCCCATCCCATTGGCGGAGGCTGGCTGGCTTTGTCCAAACAACAGGGGTCCCTATATTTCCTCCTCTTTTTTTTGTGGTTTTAAACATCACCTTTTTTGCCCATTTAAGGTGGGCTTCCCTTCATGGAGGTGATGTTTTTGATGTTTTGAGGGGAACTAACTCGGGAGCCCTGAACCGAGCGGGCGCCTGAGAGAGGTGAACACCTGGCGCACCTCTTCTTGCTGGTTTTCTGAGCAGGGAATGAGGGAATGACCCCGAGAAAAACCCAGCCCCTATGGCTTCCTACAAGGGAATCTCGAGATTCATGCGAACCCTATGGCTTCCTACCAGGGAATCCCATGGAATTTTCTTCCGGTTCCTTCGGTCATCCATCGCAGCAAGTCTGCCCCGAGCCAGGCGGCTTCCTTTGAGCCGGAGCTTGCTCGGCGCACTGCGCGAGCGACCGCTGTGGAGGCCACACGTGCTGGCTTAATGCGGCGCGGCAAGCTGGCAAGCTCCGGGCCCTCAAACCCAATAGAACGGACCGCACAACAAAAAGCAGAACGCAGATCGTTGACTTTGAGCTTGTGCTGATGTTTGGGCTTGTGCGGGCTTTTGAGCTGGGGATGTCTCCTCGGGGAGGGCCTGCCTCTCCGATAGCATGTCCAAAAAGATCAACTCAAAGTGTTAAGCATCTTGGCCTTTTTTCTTTTTCTTTTTCGTGTGTTTTGTTTGTTCTCTTCGTGTCTCTGCGCCTAGGTGGACCTTTGCCCCCATGGTGGACGTGTCCCGCGACCAGCGCTGGGGGCGCACGGCCGAGGGGGCGGGCGAGGACCCGCTGCTGGGCGCGCGCTTCGCGCGCGCTCGCGTGCAGGGCTTCCAGGGACCCAACCTCAAGGCAGAGGCGGGACGTCGCTTTTGACGGGGGGACCCCTCCAAAAGTGGCGGGTCTCCTGGCTGAAAGCAACAAAGAAAAGGGGAGCCCGTCCGAAAAAGAGACTGGTTGGGGGAACCTCCCTTTTGGTGGGTTGTAAAGGGACATGAAAGGAAAACCATCATGTTGGTGTTTCGAAATGGGCGTGTCTTTTCTTAGGGGACCCTCGAACAAATCTCTATTTGATTTAGGTTTCCAAAGAAAACGACAACAAAAAGGGACCATCACAAAGAGACACCCCCCCAACTATTTGTTGGGGCTGCTTTGCAGCCGATCAAAATGCAACAGCTGAATTTTGCCAGGGTTCCATTTGGGACCTCTGTTTTTGAGCCAGGACAGCCTGGCTGCGTGCCTGAAGCACTTTGCTGGCTACGGTGGTGTAGAGGCAGGCCTGGACTACAGCCAGAGCGACATGTCGGAGGCCACTTTCCGAGACGTTCACCTGCCCCCCTTCATTGCTGGCATCGAAGCAGGGGCGCTGACAGTCATGTCTGCTTTCATTGCCCTCATGGGCGTGCCAGCGACTGGGAGCCTTGGCTGTTCATCTCTCGTTAAGATAATTTAGACTTCCTCCAGCACATGGCTCTTGGTCTAAAATGGGGAAATAGCCATAGCCGTGGGTTGCTTCAAGGGGTTGGTTGACTGGCTGGCTGGCTGGCTGGCTGGCTGCCTTCTGGGATGGTTGACAGGTTGGTTGGTAGGGGTGGGTCGCCAGCTCGCCAGGTTTGGAGCTGATTTGTTTTTGCTGCCGGGGGCCTGTGCTTTGTTCCTGGGAGTGGGGATGAAAGCAACCCTGAACCGGCAAAAGGCAAGCCGTGTTCCGCAGTCGCGAGGAACCGCTGGCTCCTGACCAAAGTACTTCGGCAAGAGCTGGGATTTAACGGCTTCGTGGTGACTGACTACGAAGCTGACAAAGAGCTTGTGAATCATGGCTTCGCAGCTGACGCCAGCGATGCGGCGCGGCTTTCTCTGACAGCTGGCTCGGACATGAGCATGCAGTCCGGGATCTACAGGGATCACCTGCCTGATCTTACGACCCGAGGCACTGTGCCGCAAGCAACTCTGGATGAGGCCGTTAGGCGTGTCTTGCATGCAAAGCTCTCGATGGGCCTGTTTGCCAACCCGTATCGTTCTTTGACCCTGGGCCGCGACACTTTGCCGGCCGAGCTGGTGGAACAGCACGACAGCCTGGCTCGAGAAGCTAGCAGAAAGTCGTTGGTGCTGCTGCGAAATGAGCACTCGCTCCTTCCTTTGAAGAGAGGCCAGCGGATTGGCATTGTGGGTTGGTGGGGCAATGACACAGCTGACACAGATGGCGTTGGCGTCTTATGGGGCAACAAGTCTCACTCCCTGAGCCTCCTGGATGGCATGACGGCGGCAGTGGATCCGTCCCTCCTCCGCTTTGAGCCAGGCTCCGGCGTGGAGACTCCGCTGGAGGGGGGCCTTGCAAGAGCTGTGGAGGTCGCCCACTGGGCAGACGTGGTGATCTTCGCAGTGGGTGAATCATCTTCCATGGCGGGCGAGTCGAGGTCTCGCACCAACATTTTGATCCCTGAAGCCCAGCAAGCTCTGGTGGACGCAGTTGCCGCTGTTGGGAAACCTTCGGTGGTTCTTCTGAAAGCTCAGCGAGCTTTGGAATTGCGTGGGGCTGTGCGGGACGCGCCTGCCATCATGGTCGCCTGGTTCCTGGGGAAGATGACAGGCCCTGCCCTTGCGGATGTGATCCTGGGAGAGTTCAGCCCCTCCGGGCGCTTGCCAGTCAGCTTTCCCATCAAAGGAGGCCAGGCGCCGTTCCACTACAACCACATGAGCTCCGGGAGGCCGTGTGCCTGGGGCTCCTCCTTCACCAATTGCTGGCAGGATGCTCCCAACCGGGCCTTGTATCCCTTCGGCCACGGCCTCACCTACAGCCAGGTGCCTGTGGGTCAAAATCAATGGGATCCCATTTTGGGGTAGGTGAATTCACCACCCATTTTAGTCTGTTTTAGTGGGGATTGGGATGTTCACTGGGGGTACGGGCTTTTGACCCATGGCCAGGTGGTCTACGGCGCGGTGTCGGTGCGACCCAAGTTTCTGCCCTGGGACATGCCCCGGGGATTTCTTTGGATCACCTGCAGCGTGACCAACGCCGGCAACCGCACGGTGGACGAGGTGGCCCAGCTGTACATCCGCGACAAAGTGGCCAGCCGCGTGCGCCCCATCCGGGAGTTGAAGGACTTTCACAAGCTCAAGCTGCGACCCGGTGAGGTGCAGGCGCTCGGCCAAAGGAAGAGACAGACCCCAAAAAAACCCTTGCTTTCCCTTGATTCTAACCGATTCTAAACTGGCTCCGACTCTGAGATATTTGAAGTTTGCATCCCTGCACGTCTTATATATATATATATATATTTGCCCCATCCTTCAGGTGGTTTCCTTCACTTTGAGCCGGGAGCAGCTCCAATTCGCAGACGTGCACAGTGGGCTCTACACCGTGGAGCCTGGCCTTTTTGATGTGTGGGTTGCACCCTCGTCTGCTGAGGGCCAGGCCGTGCAGTTCGAGCTCGGGCCAGTTGAGACCTGGATGTGAGCCCTGTGAAGGAGCGTGGTCTCTGGGCCAAGAGTGCCAATTCAGAGACCGGGGGCCGACATGCTCAGAGCCTGCAAGAACTGGCCAAAGATTGCCACTGCGCTCCAAGAGGGAGACCAGTCAGTCGCAAAATCATGCCATGAAAGATGAAGCAGAGTGAAGAAGCCCGCCTGTTTTGGAGCAGCGCAGGAAGACGATGTTGAAGAGCTGCAAGGCCGTGCCCTTAAACTCAGTTGCCCTTGGCAAAGGCGGGCGTTCGGGTTGTTTTTGTTGGCTCCCAGTGTTTTCGCTTCTATTGTTTTCATTCACCTTTGGCAAAGCACTAGTGTGTCGACTTACTCGCGTGAATGCTTCAGAGTGGCTAGCATTTCCCATTGCTTAACCAAGAGCCAGCCGTCACCGAGGCGAGCCTGACAATGCTGCGATTCAGGAGGCAATCCTCATGTCGTTGATGTCACCTGCAGCACGGCTGAATCAGATCTTTAGATTGGAGCTTGAAGTCCAGCCCAGCTGACCATGTGAATTGCAAGCTATTCTCGGCAGCTATGAGTCCACGCCAGTGTGAGTGTACGAAGCAGCTCCTTCCCAACAGCTGTGCTTGATCGAGTCTCGTATCACTGGATCTTCTGTTTGCGTTCTCTGCAAGGGTCTTCCGGATGGCATCAAATTCTGGACGCCTTTCCAAAGCAAATGCTTGTTCCGCTTGATGTTGACCAGTTGGAGCGACGTCGGAGCAATGGCAAGGCATGCGCGTCCAGCCATTGAGAGTTTATCAGCAGCGCAAGTTGAACCATGTGAGCGATTTTCACCATGTCTGTTCTTTTATGGCCTCCACCTTACACATTATGTGACCCATTTCCACCTGTGTTGCTTCCAGCTCTTTTCTCTCTTTCTCTCCATCTCTCTTTATTTGGTTCTTTCTTTCCTGCTTGCTTTCCTTGTTTCTCACTTTTGTCTTGTTTTTTTGTTCTCTCTCTCTCTCTCCTCCAGTCCTCATTTGCCAATCCGCTTGCCATTGCGTCTGTTGGTGAGCACTTGAGGCGCTGCAGGAGCAGTCCTGATGGTGTCATAGACTCGTTCTCACCCAGTGTACAGGACAGCCCTGTGGCTGGACAGCGTGAAGCAGATGCATCTGCTTCACGCTGTTCCTGGCCCGCTGACACGTTTGCATGTGTCTGGACTGGTTTGCGACCAAGTGACGATCTGCTTGGCCGCAACCGCCAGCTCTTGATGGGCACTGCGAACAGCAGGGCCCCCCACCGTAATAGATCTGCTTTTGCTAGGCTCGCTTCGAGAACAAAAGGGTTTTGCTTGCTTGCCGTGGGACGCCGGCCGTGAAAAGATCCTTGGGAGTGCTAACCAACAAGCTGCTTCAGTGATGGTGGCACCAGGAGAGCGAACAGGGCGTGTGCGGGTCAGCGCAAATCCGCGGCAGGTCGACTTGAAGCAGCTTGCAGAGATTGTTGGATCAAAGGCTCGCGCCAAGCTGGGCAGCCCAACGCGAAGAGAAGTTTTCAATCTGGTCTGCTTCTGGTGAGAGGCGTTGGATACTATGACTGTGCCGTCTAGTTTGGGTCAACTGCTGGGTCACAATAATAGGAAGCCTTCTCCCGCAGGGGGGGGGTGGCAAAACACGGCTACGTATAGAAATGACATTGTCCAGCCCCCGAAAGGCGCACTCAAGTCCGTCTTGGCCTGTGCGTGGTAGAGCTGAAACTTCCAGGCTCATTGCGCGCAAAACTGCGAAACGAGCCGAGGGCGAGCCGCCTGATCTTCGGTTGGTCTTTGTACTGCGGTTCCATCACCGTTCCGGGAGCAATAGTCATGCGGCGCCAGACGCAGTGCTTGAGCTGTGTGTGATCCTGCAGCCTTCGTGGCCTCTCCACGATCCATTCTCCGTGTGCGAGTGCAATCTATGAAGCATGTGTATTTGGATTTCTTGTTTGTTTGCTTCCTGGTTTTCCCTCCTGCTTGCCCTCCTGCTTGCTGCCCTGCTTTTGCCGGCTTGCTCACCGGCTTGCTTGCTCCCCGCCCTCAGATGGGTGCCTAGATTCTAGATTGTTTGCATTTTTTGTTTGCCCGCTCTGGCCGACAAAGGCATATGTCAGGTCGAGCTGAAGGCAGTCAGCAGGTAGGAACGAGTACACAGGCGCTTGGCTGGCTGAATTCGTTTGCTGGTCGCTGTGTGTTGCTCGTACTGAGTACGTGCGCCCGGGAAGCTGGCAAGTGAAGCTGCTGAGCGTCTGAGCCGAGCGCCCGCGCTGCCGGGTGTGTCCGCGGGCCCGTGCTGAGCGCATAGGCGGCTAGCCGGACGCTGGGTGTCTTGGGACGGCGCTGGCGCCAACTTGATGACCGTGCTGAGTCCCACAGCACAGAGTCTGCGCGGCTTTGTTGTGACTTGTTCTTTCAGCCACTTGTAGCAACTCTGGATGAGGGTGCTCTGGCAGATTCGCTTAGGGGCTCAAGAAGTTTCTCTCTGCTCTAACTCGGTGTGTTCGACGGCGTCATGACAACTTATTCTCCTTAGTCGGTTCTTTGTGTCCTGGCTTTTTGGACACCAGGGTGTCTTCGTCCCAAGATGTGTTTTTGTCCATTTTGTTTTGGCATTGTACATTTTTGTATTTTTTGGCATTTTGTTTTGGCATTTTGTTTTGGCATTGTGTTTTGACATTTTTGTTTTTGTCCATTTTGGCTTGCACAAGCTCTTTATGATCTGGCTGGTCTTGATGGCGTGTTGCAATTTGGGCGGAGGCTTGATGCCACCCTTGAACAGATGTTGTCAAGAATTGCACGGCGAATGGAAACTAGCAAGTGACGTGAATGCCGAGGTTTGCTAACACGCGCAATGTCTTCCGCGGCCTGGACGAAGCCAGGAACGGATTTGTCACACGCCCCTTGCCAGAATTAGCAAGCCTTGCGACAACGCACTGCCACTTGGTTCCGAGAGGCAACTTTGTGCAAGTTTCCTGCTGCCGTTGCGTACGCAATTTACCAAATGGCTTGTTGTTCCGGCAATGCCAGCGAATCATTGTTCAATATTGTTCAACAAGGGTTGGCAGGTGCTTGCGGACTGCTTTGCTGGCCTATCCTTTGTGCCTGTTTGCTGTTCGGGCTGGTGGTACGCTGTCTCAGGCCCTGAATGCATCCGTTTCATGGAGACCTATGGCTACCCATCCTGTGTCGGACCGGCGCCAAGTGCGGGAGTCGACGTGATGCAGCAAATGAGTATGGGTCAAACTTCAGCTACCAGGATATGGACCGCAAGTCTTGGGTCCATGTTTCCATTTACCAGGATTCCATTTTGGGTGCATATGTATGACCCACAGCCAAATGGAGCACACACTGCGCAAGTTTGGAGACTTTGGGATTGCAGCAGCTCAACTCAAGGCTGTTCACGGAAAAGCTATCCTCCCACCCACAAACGTGGAACCCACCAGAGGGCCCCTGCCCGTTCGTGGGGAACGGTCTTCCAAAAGCCCCACAGTCTGGCTCCATATTATGTTAGTGGGAGGGTGGCTGTGCATTGATGTTTGCCTGCTTTAGGCAATGTTACCGTCCTTTCGTCCTTTCTGGGTGGGTGTGCCGAAGCGAGTTGCATCCGCTCCCTCTTCCGTCCGCTGGCCGAGTTTTGACGCCGCTATCCGCCCATTACATTTAGGGATTGTGAAGGTTGCGGAAATGTCATTTGACCCATTTGGACGTGGTCACTGTTTGCTGCCGCCTGTTCTTAGCATTTGCGAGCAGCTTCATCAATCATTTTCGGATGTAGTCCTTCTTCGGGCCTCAGTAGATTTTGTATATGAGACTTGACCACGATATCGCCAATGTATAGCCAGACACGGCGAGGTTCACATTGTTTGCGTAGTACCGGATGCGCAAGGCGAGCAGGCCTACAACACCCTGCTCCACGAGGGCCAACACCAGGCACAGTTTTGAGTTGCTCATGTTACCTGCACCAAGCCAAGTCCTTTGGTGAGGGTTACAGCGCATTCTTCGCTTCTTCGTCTGCGCTTTCCATTTCAGACTTGGGATGGCCCTTGTAGAGCACTTGCCTTGGTTGCTTGACTGTTCTTGGTGAGCCACCCCACTAACTCTGCGTAATACTCAAGGGTTCCTTGGGCGGGTGACAGGTTGACTTCTCCACATTCGTGCGATTCTTTGGGCCGTACATCCACCCACGGTGGGGGTCTCGGAATATACCCAAGCTGCGGCCACCGCCCCTGGACAGATAGCATGGACGGCAGATTAGAAGCGATCACAGGTCTGGTGAACATTCCACGTCTGAGTTAAATCAACCATGGGATCAAGGCTGTGCGAACTACGTTGTATTTTGTCACTGCGGGCAGAAGGGAGAATATGGGAGAAACAGTTGGGACTTGTGGACAATTCAGGTTTGAAGAATTGGCGCAGCAGCGCTGCACTTAGTGAAAGGCGGTTTGCTGAAGGCAGGGTGGCATTTGGCTCTTGGACATATCTGCCTTAGTGGGTGGTGTTGATTGGCGGTTTGGGGGTTTGACTCCCTGGTTCTTTTAGAGGGTACATGGGAAGCCCTTCCTTAACCACCAAACCACCCATCCACACCGCCGATTGGAGGAAAGCTGATATGCCAAGGCATGAGAAGCGTCACCCCGCACCGGCCGCCCCGGTGGCTCGAGCTGCGACGCCTGCGTCGGCCGGGAGCCCAGGCTTTGGCTCCGCTTTGGCTCGGCCTTGGTTGGGTGCAGGCGCGCTCGGTGTCCCGGAGGCCTCCGACACCAGGCAGTGGCTTAAGATTGGCGGCTGGTTTCGTGCTTGCCGTGGCGAGTGAGGCTCAGGAAAGGGACGTTCCAGCTGAAATGGCTGCGAGTCAACTTATAAGGTCCGGAACAGGGTCCGGAACCCAAATGCGATCCAGCCCTCCGTTCCAGACCTTCGTTCCAGACCTTGCTAGAAACATGTTCCAGACCTGCCGTTCCAGACCTTGTTTATGTATATTTATGTCTAGTTTAGAGTATTGATTCAGATGGTCAGGGGATTTGGCAGGTTATTGACTTCCTCCTTGTTTTGGCAAATGCTGCGCGTTAAAGCTGGTGTTCGAGAGAAGACTGAGGTGCTAACGATGGGTTTTGCTCGTCGGGCTTTGGTGGTTAGGGCTGCGTGGCTTGCAATCGTTGGGACTTGGATGGAATTGGGCAGCGGTCCTGTTGACAGATGTGTTTTTGGAACGGCCTGTCAATGTTAAGGGTCAACCCCATCTTATTCCAAGCCAGCCAGGGCATTCATTTTTGTGTGTCCTAGCCATTTTGGCCGAATTTTCCCGCGAGTTTGTGCGTAGTTTGGTGCCATGACCCACGTTCTTCGGTCCACCTTTGCAGGTCTTATACGGTTGTGTTTTGCAGGAGCTAAAGATGTATCACATTACACATTGTCGCTTTTCATCAAACAAGGGTTTAGTGCTTAAAGGGAAAGAATGTGTTGCTTTGGCCTTGCTAAACCCTGCAAGGGGTCAGTTTGTGTCATGGCAATAGCACAAACAGCAAACTGAGCGATACGATTCATTTTCTTTCGGTTCGAATCGATTCATCGTTCCTGAGCAGGCCAGCACAACCTCCTGGCAAGAGGGGTTGTGATAAGATTTGAATGTTGAAAGGAAAACAGACCACGAAGAAATGAAGGACTGCCCGAAGCACTCGGAATTTCACCCCTGCTCGTTCTTTGTCGGGTGTGCAAGTGCACTGGCAAAGACTGAAATGGCGTGGAGCAAGAAAGAAGGAGCAAAGGAGCAAGAAAGAAGTAGAACAAAATGAAGAAAGGAGAATCGGTGTTCTGGAACTTTGGTTCGGTTCGGTGCGATGCGATTCCGCCGCCATCGGTTCGATGCGATACGGTATCGGTTCGATGCCGTTCTCGGTCGTCACATTGCTGAAACGACCAAGTTTACAGGCAACTTGCTAGCATTCCAAAGTGCAAGCCACTCGCGTAACCGTTCCAGACGCAGCGGAGCAATTTGCCACCAAGTCCACATGCGCACACATGCCCCATGTAAGTAGCTGCGCTTCTTACGCGGCCCGCCACCCAAGAAGCCTTCAAGGACGACTAGCGCCAGGGCTTTGGAGAGGCCAAAGAAGTCTTTGAATGATGCCCTGGACATGTACATCGGCTTGTGCACCGGTGGACATCGGCTTATGATAGCTAGATTCAGCTGGATTCTAGGTACTGTATTTGCAGGTTCTTGAAGCGCCAGTGCCAGGTCCAGGTCGCGCACGCAGTGCTCGCAGTGCGGCCAGTGCACGCAGAGCCTCTGAAGCACGCCCAGTCGCTGGACAGCCTCCACAATCTCCACTCAAGGCGTGGATGCGTTGAACAGGTTGGCACCGCTTGGTCGTGCGGCTGATTGTGAAGTATCGAGATGCTTTTTCAACAGTGCCCACTGAGAGGGGAATCAAAAGAGAACTCAGAGTCGATGCTGCCCTGTCAATGCTTGCACCCCCGCCTTACCCTCAGGTGGAGGGAAGCACTGTGGCAAAGGACAGCTGATATTTCAACGGTCCATGTCACGCAGATTGCCCGCAGGAAAACGAGCGTTATGAGTACTTCAGCGATGCTGGCTCTACCTCTGCGGGTGGCCGGCTGAGTCAGCAAGCTCACAACCCCGAAGGCTAGTGGCACCAGCTTTCCCATGCGGTGCAGTCTCTTCGTTTTTTTGCACATGTGGCACGACGGCTCTATCAGTAGCTGTGCTCAGGCGCCAGCGCTGGATCATGCCTATCATCAGTACGGCACTTAGGCCTGCAGCAAGCTTGCCATGAGTATGCAGACTGATGCACGCCCACCCCGCCTCCAATACCCCGCCGCCACCTCCTCCAAATTCCTGCAAATCATCATGTTCTTCGATCTCCAGTCACTCCTTTGAAAACCTCTGGGGCCCTCTCGGGTGGGGAGTTTTTTTTGTTATATGGGGAGAGCTGCAAGTTGAAGAACGCTTACTGCCTCTAGTTGTTTGTTTTGTTTTTTTGTTTTGGTTCATTGGCTCAGGATTCAGCCTGGCAGAGGGGCATCCGTAATTTGGGGGATGCATGGCATGCAGGCAGGTTGAGGTGCTGGACTGAAACCAGGAGTTGCTTTGGTCTGCGCATCCGCAGTCCTTGCACCTCGAGTCATTTCCCTGGGAAGTTGCTGAGTGCTTGTGTGGCGTGGCCGGTCCGGGGCATTGAACCCCAGCAGGGGGGTGGCCGACGTGTGTCGGAGGCTGCCCTGAGGGACGGTTTCAGTTGGCCGCAGAGCCCTGCAAGTCGCTCCATCCATTTGGACATAACCCAGGCAACAGCGAGGCAGACGCAATGGTCCTTGCTTGCCCTAAGGTGCCGAGCACAGGTGCAAGCACGGAAAGACTGATGCGGAGGTGGGTGACAGTGCTTGCGCATCAACTGAGTGTTGTGATGTGGGAGCCTTAAATGAAAGCAGTCATCTCCGTCATAAGTGCTGCTGGCAAGTCTCAAGTTCCTGGCTAAAGTTCTCAGCTAAATATGGACAACATGCAGAAGTAAGTCCTGCTTCCAGTCAAATTTTGGTGCAGGTCAGTTCCAGCTCCTCGAGGAGGCCGTGGGGCATGCGTTTGCTCGAAGTGAGAAAGGAAAGCCTTGTATCGTAGAGCTAACTCTGCAGGGCGGCTTCTTGGCGACGGCATCAACCGTGCCCAAGCCCAAGGAAAGTTGGCCTCGGACACTTCGAATCTCACATGGAATTCAGTCAAATATCCATCAGTCTATAGTTAGTTTGGGAGGGACTCACGGGGACACTCATTTTCCCCCGCAAAAACAGGATGTCCTTTGCGGCCGCTCCCTCCTCTCATACATTGGCTCACGAGCTACCTGCTGCTTGAATGGTTTGCCAAGGCACTCAGTAGGTCTGTGGTTTGGCCGGGTGCTGAGTGGTTCGGCCCATGGCCTTAGGCCAACACTCGATCTCAGCATACGCGCTGGCTGAGGAATGGCAACAACTCCCACGCAGTTCTTCAGCAAAAGGCCTGGTGTACTATGGGTGCTGTTGGACCTTCGAAGTGATGCCTGGGGCGACAAGTTGAGTGTGGAAGGTTCAAATTCAGATCGCTCTATCCCAGCCGCACCCTTGCAGGCACGCCCCAAGTCGCCAAGGCCGAGCACGAAGGGGCTGTGCTGGCAGTGCTTGTTTAGGAGGTAATGAAGCAAATGCAAGGGATTGGTAGGGATAGCTGGCCAAGTGTGCAAGACAAGGAGTTGTCATCGAACACTTTGGGCCTTTGTTGTCACCACGCAACTCTTACACTTAGCTGCCAGCCTGTTCAGACCGCCATACATATGTTTGCAGCAAGCTAACCAGCCAGGTTGCGCAGTTGTATTTTCCAGATGTATTGTTCGGGGGCTGGCTGACCTTGAACAAATGGGTGCGGGTCAAAATAAAGCCACCAGGATATGGACCGCAGGTTTTGGTCCATGTTTCCATTTACCTGGGCAAGCCATTTTGGGGTCACCCTACTTTTGACGACCACAGCCAAATCAAGAGTTGCTTTGAGCCTTGCTGAAAGGGGATGGCACGCAGCACTGGCAGCTTGTTCAGGGATCCTCCTGGTCCTCCAGCTCATGTGCAGTCAACGCAGGCATAGCCGGCTTTGTGGATGCCATTCGCCTTTGAATGAAGTGAAATTCTGCCTGATTGGGGGGACGCTGCCCTGGCTTGGCGTTCGACCCCATGGACCCGCGCCAGATTCGTGGGCCCCCGCGGCCGCCATCCAGCAGGAGGCCGCACACAGCCAAAGCTCTGGCCTCGGGGCTCAGGGCTGCGAAAGAATGCCTAGGTTTTCCGGTTAAATAACAACCTTTGGAGCATTCCCGAATGCCGGCCCCCCAATGTCGCTGGCTTGGCAAGGACGCCTAGGAACAGGTCCTGTAGTTCTGCATGGAAGTGTCACTCCAGGTTTTGCATGGGAAGGATTTTTCTCCCTTCGACCGCCCAGGCACGGCTGGATGCGCAGTGGCAGGCATCCGAGGCGCTTTCCTCTCGCCCCGCCACGCCCCGCCCCGCGCCGCTCGCCTTTTTTCCCCGCTTTGGCCAGGACCTCAAGCCCGGGCCTCGGCAAACTTGGGGGTGGCTTTGATTTTTTTTGGCTGGGGGGGGACCCCCAAATTTGTGGTTTCCCTGCTGGTTTCCCTTGAACACCACCAAACAGGGGACCCCCAACTTGTGGTTTTTTTTTCTGGTTTCCCTTTAAAACCTATGAAACAAGGGGCACCCTCAACAAAAAGAAACACCCAGTTGGAGTGAGGCGGAGTTGAAAAGGGGCGTTGGCTTGGTTGGGCTTTCCTTGGCGCACCCTGGTCTGCTTGTGACCTCTGGCGAATACCGCTGACAAAAGCAACCAAGAGGGATTTTCACGGATGTTGTTTCAATGTACCAGGGCAACCCATTTTGGGTACACACTTTTAACCAGCCATAGTGGCTTGGGAGATTTGCAAAGGGGATTGAATCCTAGCTTTGCTTCTTTGCTCAATTTTTGGTTTCTGGACTTAGGAAGTCGGCATCCGGGCACTGCCTCCACTGTGGTAGGCTGGTTGTATGACACTGCCGGGGCGTGGAAGAGGCCTGCCATTTGGCGGTGGTTGCCAAAACCAGTGGCAGTTTGGGGTAGGTGCACCACCCATTTTAGAACCTATTTTAGTGGGGATTGGGATGTTCACTGGGGGTACGATTTGGATTTTGACCCATTGGCCTTTTAACCAAAGACAGCGCTATGCAGGAACGATCAGGGCCAGATGTCGGCTGAGCGCTGATCTCAGCATACAAACTGCAGAGCGGGGAACAGCAACTTGTTCGCCAGCCTGGTTTCCCTTGCGCTCAAAGGTACCTTTGCGACAACATGTCCCACCAGTCTCTGCCTCAAATCGGTGCCAACACGTGCCAAGCTTCAGACGCGCTATGAATATGGCTCGCTGCAGTTGGGGAGTCATCGCTTGACGAAGACAGGAGGAGGCCGGACATTTTTCGTTGTGTCGGATGGTGCAGTGGCTGGATGAGCAGGGCAAAGGCTACATTCATGTCATGATTATATAGAGGAGCGAGTTTTGTGTGACATCATGGTCCCGCGGCAGCAGTTTTGGAGCAGTTAGCGTGACACGAGTCGAGAATTCGTTCGGGCCCCAAATCTGCAAGTCTGGGGCCGGGGTGCGTTGCTTTCATCCTGTAGTGCTCGGCCTCGCCCCGCTTATCCACATGCAACCAATGAGCATGACTAGCCCTAGCTTTTGTTTTTGAGATGGAAGGCAAGCCCTTCATCTTGGTGATGGAAGCGCATGTTGGCCGGACAACTGGGCAATCCATTTTTATGTTCCTCCGCCAAGTTACATTTCTGACCACGAGGAAAGCCAACCACACGGAAAGTGCGTACAGGCCCGGGGAGCTTCTCGGTGGCCCTTGAGGTCGTGAGTTGTTGCTCGCTGCCGACTCCCGAGAAGACTCAGCTGCAATGGCCGATGGCCGGCCGGAGATGCGTTCTGAAGCAACTCGGTTTGTGCAAATGCACCCACGGGTTGCGGGACCGGGCCTGGCCGGAGCTTTTGTGCAATATAGAGAATTGAGTGGCAACATGCCGGCACTCGCAATGGAGTCTTCAGCATGCCAATGGTTTCATGTGAAAAGCCGGCATGTTCAGTCTCGATGTGCTGACCGGTCTTTGCAAGGAATGATTCAGTCCATCAGCCGACTCTGCAGAAAATCAGCTGTTGAGCGGCTGGCGGCCTGGTTGCTTGTAACAATTTGCAAGGAATCTGCAAGGAATCTGCATTTGGAACTCTGGGCTGCCAGTTCCTGCCGGATTTTGGTGGCAAGCTTCTTATTTTTGTGCAGACGAGGCACGGACCCAAGTGTTGTGAAGGGAAACACGGCGCATGACAATCAAGACCACATGACAACCATGTTGCGCAGTTCCGGCAAGATCAGCCAGCGAGAGGACCAGTTTCTCAGTTTCTCAGCCAGACTTGCATGGCGACCGTGCCGCGAAGGCCGAAACTTGGCTTTGCTGCTCGTGTAACACCATGGGAGCTGGAGGCTTCTCACAGCTTGCCTTGAGTAGTCGACTGGCTTCATGTTTTGTGCCAGCTGACTTGGTTTAACAGGGGGGGAAAGCTGTGCCAATTGCAATCGCAGGGTCCTTTGGCCGTTGAAACGAAGTGTCCGTGCTAAAGCATTCATCCCGAAGGGGTGAGTCATGCTTGTTGAGAAGGCACTCGTTTGCCCACTTTCAGCGGCTGGGCTCTGCATGTAGGCTCACGAAGGCATGCTGCCCAGCAAGTTTGGTGGCGCAAAACCTACGCGACGTCTCTTGATCTGTCTTTGACACGCGTCTGTGATACAACACGTGTCCAAGAAGTGATGTCCAATACAGGCGAGGGTTCGAGGGTTGCGCGCATTTGGACTGCGTGCAATCATTGGCCATGAGCACGCCCGTATTTTCTCGCACAAGTCATGGAGGTCTTGCGGGCCCAAACTGTTGTTGTGACGTCAGCGTTGAGACGCGTTGAGTCAAGAGTCCACGAGTGGCCTTGGGCTGCAAAAACAACAAAGGAGTTCGGGGGCCTGGTCCATATTTGACCTCATGCAAGATCAGGGTTGTGGGATCAAGGGGTTTATCCCCACTTCTGTGACACAAGCGAATGGGTCTCTGGGAGGAACTTTTTATTGTATCACAGAATTTGATTTCATTTTCCACAGCCCTGTGTAAGATCATTGCAAAATGTCTGTGGGTCAAACCAATGGTACCATTTCGGGGCAGGTGCACCACCCATATTAGTCTATTTTAGTGGGGGTTGGGATGTTCACTGGGGGTACGGGCTTTTGACCCATGGCCAAGTGGATCCCAGAGCAACTTCAGGAGTCCGTCAGTCAGTGCAAGCGCCACTTTGTGGCTCAGAGCTGCACGGCACCGGCGCCATGTGGCTGCCATGGCCAGCGCTGCTTGGATCAACACAGATCTATGGCACTGTGGATGAACAAACTCCGTTTGTTTTCACGTTGAAACCGTGGCAAAGTCATTGTTTGTTGGTATGCACAGGGTAATCATCAGAAACCAGGGTTGCTGAACGGTGGTGCGAAATGGATGTCGCAACCATTCACGTTATTGACAATCTATGGCCATGTTGGGTATGGGTCAAAATGAAACAACCAGGATATGAACCGAGGTTTAGTCCTTGTGTCCATTTAAATTTACCAGGGTTCCATTTTATTCTTGACCCGACGTCCGTATGGCCATGATGCAGTTGGA